CTCTCTTGTTTGATTGTTGCTTTTTTTATAAGTGTGCAGCATATACTCCACATAATGGTAAGATATTGGCTAAATGAAGACATCATTGCCACTAATGTCTTACCATTATGTGAGAGGTATTTCTGCCACACTATGTATAAGGGAAAACCACACAATATGATCATTCATTTCCATATCACCTGTTTTTAATTCTTTAACACATTTTAGTACTAATTTAATTCAACACCTATAGCAAGAATGCACTATTTTCATTATTATACACAGACATAGAAAAGCAAACTTTTACTATTATATAGATTAAATATTCCTGGAATCAAATTTTTAGATTTGAAGATTAATTATAAAATTCAATTTTATTTTCCAATTGACCTCATATTTACAATTACATATATGAAGAAATCTGAAGCAGTAGGAAATATAATTTCAATTCTTTTCAGTGATAAAAAAAGGAGTCTTGGCATTCTCTGTGAATATCTCTGAAATTCTATTCCACAAATCACAAGTATTAATAGATTCCAACACCATTGTGAAAATAATTTGATTCAATAGAAAGCACTTAAACTAGTCAAAGATATTAGATTAAATGTTTCAGATTTGATGATAAATTAGTTAAAAACATCAATGGCTCACAAAAGAAAAACAGAACTTAGCTGTTTACAGGAAAATGCAAATAAATTTAATAATAATAATCTTTCGTAAAAGTTGCTTCCTGAAGTCTTGAAAATTGCCAATAAGCAATCAGATATAATAAAAATTAAAAACAGAAAACAAATTCTACCAAAAGCTTTCATCATTTTACCAGTAATTTTATCAAAATTATTCAGAATAAAATCTACTGAACAATTTGGTCACAAAAGAAGAAATATTTTGAGTGAGTGGAATATGATTTTACCAACAAATGTACCATGGACAGAACCTGTAACAAATGAGGAAATATTTGACCGATTTGCTTTCTATGGCTTATTTTTAGATTGCAGGATTTTCTTTTTTGAGATAATAATGATTTAGTGATACAAATTTTACTAATTAACACATAGCTGAATGGAGAAGAGGTGGATTCAACCCTTTGCAGGTTATTTAAAGCCAGAATAATGTTTTTTTAGAGTAACTTTTGTTTTGTTATTTTGCTTTTTTTTTTTGAGATAATGATTTACTGATACAAGTCTTACTAATTAACCCATAGCTAAGGGGAGAAGTGGTGAATTCATACCATTCCCAAGAGTATTTGCACAAAAATGAATATAATGAATCTAATTGGAACTTGTCTCTCCAATTAATGATTCTGAGCCATTATCCATTATACCACCCACATTATCACAGCACCTAGTATTCCCAAGTGGTCACTCATCTAGGTATATTGGTAAGTGTATGGGAACCGGGCCTTCAATGCGATATGGTCATAACCTAGGAATTATTAATAGAAACTGTTGTTAACAACTAAAAATAGAAGACTGAAAATTTTGGAACTACAAAGAAAGAATGTTTGGGGAATTGAACACTCACTTGACACATCAAAAGCAAGAGAAGCAGAAAAAAAACTGCCAAGTAATCATTGACAAGTTTGAGAAAATAGAGGAACAAGTACCACAAAGAAAAATGGTTATTAAAGGAGGAATTCTTACTAAAAGCAAAAGTAGAAAGCTGTGGAAAATCATGATTGCAAAGATGTTTTATATTAAATTCTTGTTTTTTTTTTTTAATTCCAAATAGGTAAGTAGATAAAAAATAAAGAAGCTATAATTCTCAGTGTCATTTTAAGATTTAAATAACATTTTCTGTAAGAAAGGGAAGAGATAGTTTTTATTATCAATGGTAATTTTACAGTAATATAGATAACAAAAAGACATGAAATCTGTTAATATGTCTTTTAAGGCGACAACACATTTAACAAAAATCAGATAAAAAGCCTCATGGATCCTCCTCAAGTTATAAAGCCTCAATAATACATTTCAATATATTCATTTAAAAATCAGAGATTTTTTTTTTATTTTTATAAACACTCAAGAAATTCACATGCTTATTTTAATGCCTCCAAAATGAAACTACTCATTATTAATGATCTGAGGGAACACATTCTGCCTTCTGTCAGCTAACCTGCAGGAGAGCAACTCTGTGTTCCTTCTTGGGCTGACATTATATTGAATCCATTGCAAGGTCTCCTGCTAGGAAGAATCTATCATATATTTATAAGTCTATAATTCATCCATATTTAGAATATTGCTGCCACATATGATCTGGTGCTCCTGATATATATATTTAGAGATTGTTGATAAAATCCAAAGAAGAATCTGAAATATCATTGGTCCTGACATTTCAGATTCATTCACTTTCCCCCATCACTGTAACATAACTTCCCTGTGACTTTTCCATAAATAATTTCATTGAAATTATTCTGATGAACTTACCTCTATGGTACCTAGACTAAGAACTAGCAGCAAGGTCTGGTCATTTTACAGTTGAAATGGCTATATATAACTCTATATAAGTTCTATACTAACAGTTTCTTTTCTCATACTTCTCGCTTGTGGAACTCTTTTCTGGCTTTGTGCTTTCCAGCCAACTTTGATCTTCAAAAATTTAAATGCAATGTCAACTGTTATCTTTCGTTTTCTTAATTTCTTGTTCTTATAAGGTTCTTGCTTCTTGATAATATTTTTCTCTTTCTTATATTCTTTCACACTCAGTAACCTCCTGTGTCTTAGACAATACTACAATACTAATGTACTTGATATAGAATTATTGGCTGCATTCAGAAATTTATTTTTGATTGTAAAAGCTATTATTCCCATTGCGAATAAGAATTGTCTGTATGCTTATTTTTTATCAAGGAAATAAAGTTTTACTTATAAGATAAATAACTTAGAATTAATTGAACATTTAGGCAAAGAAGTCTTCAACATATTTTTTGGAGGACCACTTTAAAAAATTTAAGTAATAAAGAGTGCTGGTCATCTCCAAAAATATGACTTTATATATATATTTTTAACATAAAAAGACTGTAACAACAACTTGTATAGATGCATTTTTCCCCATTTTTATTAACTAAATAAGCATGAGAATACCTACTTTTATTAATGTGACCCTTGATATTTTCTTTTTGTCTTTGCACAAATTTTCAATATCAGCTTTTACAGATGTCGTGGCAACACATGACCAACTCACCAAATTATTATCAGTCAGCTGACTTTGGTATTTGGCTTTTATAAGATTCATCCTCGAAAACAAATTAAAACTATTTACAACAGTATGTGCTTTGAAAAAAAAAAGAGGTCATTTTAATGGCATCTTGTGTCAAATTTGTATATTTTGCACCTAGCTACTTTAAATAAAATGTCACCAAATCATTCTCCCTTGAAGCCCATACCTAACTGCAAATCAATAAGCTCCATTTGGTAGCAGTCGACACTGTCTTCAGCTGCCATTTCAAATGTTTAAGCAAACAGTTTTAATTCCTTTTTATATTTCCTGAAATCCACAAACCTATTGCCAAAATTCTTATCTCAATTTTTGAAGACTTGCAATATATTTTGTACAAGTGGGGTCAGGGATCACAGCTTTTCTTGCTTCCAGACAGGGAAAAATGGTGGGCCACACTGACAGGCTTTCGTAGGTCACATTATGGGCTATGGGCTGCCTGTTGCACATCCTTGATTTAGACAAAGGAGTGCTGAAAAGTTCTTAGCCCAAACCACTTGACAAAATCTAAGTGACTAAAAAAGTTTTTTTTTGTCATACCAAGAATTTTTTAGCATTTTATAATATTTTATCCAATTCGCATGTGCCATATCTAAAAGAAGGCAACAAGGAGGTGGTAGTGTTATGATATAGGATGGAATTGTCGACCAAACCATTATTTGGCCATTCAAAGTCAATGAAGGAGTTAAACTGAACAGTGCTAACTACTGCAATTTTATCAACACGACTTTCTTTGCATGGTACAAGTTCCAATCTTGTAGCTTCAAAGTGTGTATTTATGTATAAAAATGTTCTTTCTCATGTATCTAAGCTTATCCAAGAATTCTTTGAGCATAAAAGATTTGCAGAAGAGAAGAAAATGTAATGGCCATCAAGTCGTGATGTGAATCTGATCAAAAATCTATGGTCAATTGTGAAGATGAAATTATATGATGGTGACAAACAATATAACAGCAAAGCAGACCTATGGGAAACACAACTGCCATGTTGGAAATTGGGCCAGCTGAAGTATAAAAAAAAAAAAAAAATCAATGGATGATAGTTTACTGGCGGTTACTGAGCCCCCAACACTACTCCCAACAAAAGGCAGTTCGGAAGAGGAATCCATGAAAAATAATGCTCATCTATAGTCTGAAAGGATACTGTGTTTATAAAAAACAAAAATGTCTACAAGAAAAACTGTTCTTTTCCTGAAACCTGTAAACTGCTATTCTTGATTTCATTCACAGGTTTGTCTTCAACAGAATAAAAATCCATTAAAGGTTATAGTTTCCTTTTAGCAAGAATGTTACTGCTAAGCAATCAAGAATGTTGATGTTAAGGAATCAATAAATTTATAGTTTTTCTTTTCTTTTGTTTTTATTACAAACTGCATAACTGTACTTAAGCATAAAAGGTTATCATTTATGACTAAAATAAAAAAAAATAAAAAAAATGAACCAAGTTTACAACAAATTAAAAAAAAGAAAAAAGAAGCCTACAGCAAAAAATGAAAAAAGAAATAGAGCAATGATGCAGCTGCAAAAAAGGATAAAAGAAGTCTAAATCAAGAATATTTACAATTGAAATTAACATTGAATCTTGAGTTTGTGTTCAAATTCATTTAATAGCCTAATGGATTGGTTCATGAATTTGGTGGCATATTAATTGAGAGTTCAATCCCTGGGACAGGTAGAACAGGGCAAGCAATAACAATAGGTCATTATTTCCCTTGACATGGGCAGCGCAATGAGAACAATCCACCCTAATAAACTAAATAAATGGTTCAGTTCAATGTTACTTGAAGGCTACAGACTGACAGGCACTCAAAGGCGGCCCAGGGGACGGACGGACTGACGGGCACCCGAAGGCGGCCCAGGGGACGGACGGACTGACGGGCACCCGAAGGCGGCCCAGGGGACGGACGGACTGACGGGCACCCGAAGGCGCCCAGGGGACGGACGGACTGACGGGGGCGTGCCCAGGGGACGGACGGACGGACGGGCACCAAGGCGCCCAGGGGACGGACTGACGGGCACCAAGGCGCCCAGGGGACGGACGGACGGGGCCCAGGGGACAGACGGACGGGCACCAAGGCGGCCCAGGGGACAGATAGACTGACGGGCACCCGGCGGTGCCCAGGGGACGGACGGACTGACGGGCACCCGAAGGCGGCCCAGGGGACGGACGGACTGACGGGCACCCGAAGGAGGCCCAGGGGACGGACGGACTGACGGGCACCCAAAAAAGGCCCAGGGGACGGACGGACGGACTGACGGGCACCCAAAAAGGCCCAGGGGACGGACGGACTGACGGGCACCCAAAGAAGGCCCAGGGGACGGACTGACGGGCACCCAAAGAAGGTCAGAGGTCACAATGGTCAAAGCATTGTGATAACAACAACAAAAATTATGTTGATTAGTTCGGTCTTGGAAAAATGGAAGGATTACCTGCCCTTGAGGCAGCTGAACTTTAAGGAGAAAAAAAAAATGGGCAATACATGTTGAATGGAACCCCACTATAGACTTTGTTGGTTGTTTTTTGTTTAGCATTATATCAACCGGTAATGCCAAAATCTAAATATTTTGTACACAATTTTATTTTTTTTTTTTTTTTAAGAGATTAGTGCTTAGAAGAGACACAAGATATGATATCCAACATTACAAAAATGATTCCACTTTAAAAAGAGCCATTGTAGGATTTGAGGCTCTGATGGGTCAGCTTAATGCATTTTATTCAAGCAACTGATAAAAAGGAAATTGATCTTTAATCCTCACAGTAAGAAAAACAACAACTCTGGGGGTGAGGGATAATCTTTACATTTGTTAACACTTGAGATTACTTTGTTTTGAAAGAAAAACATTTGAAAGATTTAATAAAAAATTTAACAGTAAAATGAAACCCATTTAAAATACACTTTAGTTGTGGAGATTTTGTGAATTTCAAGGAATTAAAACCCAGATGCAAGGAATTACAGAGTGCAAAAGAATATGAGAAAAAGAAAACATTAATAAAGAGAGAGAAAAATAAAAAACAGGAATTAAGAAAAGAGAAGATAATGATTGACATTGCATTTAAATTTTGGAAGATCAAAGTTGACCAAAAAGAAAGAAACCAGAAGAAAGTTCCACAAGTGAGAAGTGTGAGAAAAGAAATTGTTAATGTAGAACTTATCATTACATTCAGCCATTTCAAATGTACAATGGTGAGACCTTGCTGCCAATTTAGTATTGCACTTAAATTCATAAAGTCTAGGTATTGTAGGTATCATGTTCATCAGAACAATTACCAAGAAAATATTTATAGAAAAAGCACAGGGAAGCTACATTATGGTGGTGAGAAAGTGACTGAAGCCAAGATGCCAGGTCAGGACCAATAACATTGCAAATCCTTTTTATTTTATCAAGTTTTGGTCAGATTTTGTTAAGAATGTGTCAACGTTGATGGGTCATTTTACATCAACTAGGTAAATACATATATACTTGCCCCCCCCCCCCCCAATAGATAGAGGGGGCACAGTCTGGTAGCTACAATTAATTTTAAATAAATTGTAATCTGTCAAATTTGAACTTGTTTAAACCAGTCATTCTTATACATATATATCATATATATATATATATATATATATATATATATATATATATATATATATATATATATATCCATACATAAACAAATTTTAAAGGAGTTTAAAAATTCCTATTTCTTTTAGAAACGTTATCTGGCCAGGGGCAATATCATTAATGTTTTATAGTTGCAACATTATAATATTAACTACATTGACGCTGATAGCTTTTATATTCAATCAGAATGTGCTTAATTGTCAATCTATGATTGCAATGGGTGCATCGGGGTACATCTTCAGCTCTTAGCAGGTGTACATGAGTTAGTATCTCTAATACACACTCTAGTTAGCACATTATCGTCTTTGCCCTTTTAGTGGTTTTGTGTTTTCCTACCTGGTGTTAGTAAAGTGTGTTTTCTTGAAATGTGTACTATATTGCTTGCCATTTGCTTTTTATAAAGTCAATAATTTCATTTTTTTAAAAATCTGTACAAAGAATTTTATATTAGTTATTTCCATGTTACAGTTCGTTTTTTTTTTTTTGCTAGTTCATTTACTTTCTCATTACCCTTTATGTTAACATGGTCTGCTATCCATGCTAAAACAAAAGTTTTTTGTAATTTCATTAGGTTGCTATAAGCCTCCAGCATGTTTGCAATGTAAGGGTGGTTAGTTGCTCTTCCTTTTAGGGTAACCAGAGAGAATAAGGCAGTTTATAAATATCCCAAACTTCTGCTTTACTGAACTCCTTACAAGATCCAAAGTCATCCTGATGGCTTGCAGATCTGCTGTAAAAATTTAAATATCAGGCAGACTCATTTGCTTTTTGTTAGAACCATCTGTGGCTGTAGCTCTCGTTTTATTTGAAACTTTGAATTCACCTGTATAAATTGATCTATAGCAATTCTATTTGTCTCTTAGTTCTCCAAATCTATTTTTGTATTCACTTTTACGTGTGAATTGATTTTAAATTCTTTCAGTGTAAGATCCATTTCAGATTCAGTGGTCAGCCAGAGTGGGAATATTTGAGTATTTGAATAGTGCTATATTTTGTGGAGGGTTTTCATTTATTTATACTATGGCCAAAAGGAGGAATTGTAGATGGCTTGCCTGTATAAAAGCGAGAATATTGATTATTAAATACTTTTCCATAGGTTTAATTATTGGTGTTGTTTTGGAATGTAATTGCATATTGAAGATAGTTTTCCCCATCTAAGAAACAGAGAAAGTTCATTAGCCTATACATACAGACTATATATACGGGAATGTATAAGCATTCAAGTAGTCTTAGTCCTTGAATTTATATAAATAGAAAACTTCTTTAGATAGGATACCCATGCTGAACTGTATTTTATGAAGAATCTCTAAATACATAGTAGAAGCACAAGACCAAATATAACAGCAAATTCACGGATTTGGACAAAAAATAAAAAAGACCCTAGAAACACAAACGTTTCATTCATTAATCGTCAGTTGTGCTTAGTTTAATTTGCAGCATATATAAATGTAGGTAGACAAAAGACAAATATTGCTCATTTAGTGAAAGTCAAAAAGAACTGCCCAAGGTCCCCAATCAGCCCCAAATTGCTGGTCTTTGGGAGTGTTGATGATAGTACACACCAGCCCTGCTGGATGCCCTAATACTTTTAAAGCACCTCAGCATAATGGGTTTTTTTTTTTTTTGTTGTTGTTTTTTTTTAAAGAGGACCACAAGGCAGTCAGTCAGCCCAGTTAAATCTCAATGAAAAAAAAAAAAAAGAAATAGTGGAAAAAGTTGAAAAGGGAAGCAGTGAAGATGAAGAAAGAAGGTAAAGAATATTAAAAAAATGATCCGATATAATAAGAAAAAGAAAATTGAAGAAATAACTATACCAGAAATAAGAAGTATTGCATAAAGAAGAAAAAAAAACAGAAAGGATAATGAAGGAAACTGTTAATAAAATAGAAGCAGCAGATATCCCAGAAGAAAGAGTAATTCGAGGAAGAAGAATTGCATAACAATTCCAATATAAGAAACTCTAGTCGCAGATCCTGATACTATTTCTTCAAGAACAGAGACTTCAAAATATAACAGGATGTACTTTATTCTTAATTATTTCTTTATAAAATAATTCTACCTACATGACTATTTTTTAGATTCAATCATCACAAAGTAACTTATATACTGATCTTATAAACCATCAAATGAAGAGTTGTCAGGGTGATGACATATCTAAATATAATTTTCCACTGTGGTGTGTGTGTATAGTGTATTGGAGCAGCAGATCATTATTCAAACATATATTGTTAAATATAACAGACAACAAATGTCTATTATAAGCTGTTCACAGGAGCCATCATGAGAGTGGTTATATGGACATTACAACAGAGATATTCACCATCAAAGAGCCGAAAGCTTAGATCAAGGAACAGTTCAATAAAAACATATCCAAATATTGGGCAGTTTTTGTCATTATTTTCTCCTGAAACTAAAGTCACTATATGAACCTTAGAACGGCTCATGATCAAAGATAATAGACATTCGTTGTCTGTTTTATATATATATATATATGTGTGTGTGTGTGTGTGTATATATATATATATATATATATATATATAGAGAGAGAGAGAGCATTGCACATTGAGTGCTGGTGGTGTTAATAAAACAGTAATTTATGTCTAATAACAGAGCTAAAATTTATTCTAAATATAAATATACATTTTGTTCCTCATTGATAGCACACCTGAATTTCATGCACAGTGTAATTGTCAGGTGAAAATTGAAAATTAATTTCAATAGGCCCCTGATGATCGCATCATGCATGAAATAGATTTATGCTACCAGCAAGGAAGAAAATGTATATTTTTTATTCATGCAATGCACACACACACACATATATATATATATATATATATATATATATATATAAAAACCAGTTTAAAGTAAAAAGAGCAAAACAAATTATTTTTTTGAAGAAAAAAAAACACTGAAAATCCGATTGTAAGTAACAAAATTTTAATTTTTTTCTGTAAAAATACATATTATAAACAAATATTATAAATATTAAGTGCCTTTTTCCCCCCAGTTATTTTATATATATATATATATATATATATATATATATATATAAACCAGTATGAACACAAGAAAAATTTAATAAAGAGGTTAATTGCAGTACCTTGTCAGTTGTTTTTAGTGAAACGTGTATGAAAAAGGGACACACACACAAAGATTATTTTTAGTAGATACCTATATTTTAGTAAACACTCCATTTATTTTTCATCAGTATTTATTTTGTCTACCACTGTGTAATCGAGAAAAATGTGCCCTCCTGCAGGATTTGAACCTACTTCCCCTTTGCAGGAGGGACCACCAACTGATCTGACATGCTATATAAATATTTACCAGTAAAATTGGCGACAAGAAAATGCTTTTTGTATGTTTTTTGGAGCTGTGGATTTAATGATATACTGATGCATATATTTTGTGAGCTATCAAACAATGCTTATATTTTTCTGACTCTTCATAAAAATTTGCATTGCTTGATATGAATATTATGTAAAGAGCATAATTTCTGGCAATACGGTTAAAAATCAAACATTAGCCATAATCTGAAATGAAACATTCATCCCTCGGATAAATGAAATCCTTCATCGTCCAAAATAGAATCCAAGAAAATCTGAAACCCAATGGGTCTCATTATAATATTTGTTTTTGAACAGTGTATGATTCATGAAAAGTTACTGATGATTGAATAATATAAAAGCAGAGAAGAAACAACAAATTCCACACTTATAG